CCGGCGCCAGCAGTACCGTACGTATACCCATTCTGGCGCCAGCCGGTACGCAACAGGGACTTACCCGCATGCGCATCCGGGGTGCTGACCGCGGCCTTGTAGTGGGGACGGTACCTTGCGGACCTACCGGGACTGCTTTTGGTGAGGCCGAAGATTACCTGGTGAATATCCAGGTGCCACCCTGCGCCGGGCCTGTGAATCCGGGGAAGGTGGAAATATCAGATACAGCAACTTGTGTTGGGTATACCGTAGACCTGTGGGATACGACACATGAATACCAGATGTCGCGCATGAGCTGGGTCTGGGAAAGAAGTGCCACTGGCAGTGGTGTCTGGACGTTGATTCCAGGATCTGAGAACAGGGATTCGTTAAAGAATGTACCGATTACCGGCGCTGTACTTTTCCGCGTTAAAATGAAATGTGATAATACGGGCGACAGCACCTATTCAAATATAGCAAGTGTCAAAATCAATATGCCTTATGCCTGTTATTGCTATAGCCAGTCAAATGGTGGCGAGTCGGATTCCTCGGATATCGGTTCTGTGGTTATCGGTACGATGATCAATACAACCGGCGGCCCGCACGTAGACAATGCAACTGCCATTAGAAGAAGAACTGACTATACGGCCATTCCTAATATTGAGATGAATGCAAATAACAAGTATCGCCTGGCTATTTTCCATACACAGAGAAATGGACGCCATGCCGATGCAAGGGTTAGCGTATTCGTTGACTATGACAATAACCTGGCTTATGATGTGAATGCAACTCCGAACAGCGAATTGGTCTATTCTGATGTTACAAGAGGCAATTACTTCTACCTCGATACGGTGATTGATGTGCCGGATGTGGTAGTACCCAATGTACCAACCGGTTTGCGTGTTATTCTGAACAATGATTTAAACCCATTGTCGCCTGCAAACCTGGGCTGCGGACCTTATGTGTCTGGTGAAACAGAAGATTATGTGGTAATGTTTAAGAGAATACCACAGCATGTGGGCGGGGTAGGTATTGATTATGTATCTCTGTACCCGAATCCTTCCAACGGTAAATTCATAGTGAGCGTAGGTGCGCCAAAAAATATGGGTGATATCAGGATCTCGGTAACCTCTATTACCGGGCAGCAGATTCTTAATGCATCTTACCAGGCTGCGCATACCAAGTTTGTCAAAGAATTAGACCTGGGTAACGTGGCAAAGGGTGTCTACTTTGTGGAAGTAAATACTGTTTCCGGTGCCCGGATGGTTCAAAAGCTGATTGTTCAATAGTTATAGTAAACATTTTCCTGCTAAAGGCAGTGGCTTCTTCGTGAAGTCACTGCCTTTTTTGATATAATGAAAAATTATTTAGAAAAAAATTAACGGAATCATACCTAACATTTAAAGAAATTACTACTTTAGTCCTCTATAAGCATTTTTAA